AAGTAAAAAAAAAAAAACTCTGAATAAATGTTTATTAAACAGAAAGTGTGCCTGTATGGGAGGTTTTCAGTGAGCCAGTGTTGCTCTCCTCATCCACTAGATGGCGCTGTAGGCTTCATAATGGTATCCTGTCCTCTGCCCCTGATGACAGAGTAATATCGACTTAAAGGTGTTTCAAATCAATATTTTTCATTATTTGAAGTCCAGACGCATGCATCAAAAGAATGTCGTCTTTATTAAAGTTCACTGTGTTCATGATCATGCACAGGGAGAACGACAGAGACAGAGGTGACAGCAATATCCACACTTACACCTTAGCACTGTACCGCTTAGACTCACTGTCAGTTGAGTCGATGCTGCTGTCAGTCTGCACATCTGCTGAAAACCCGCCTGTGGCTTTGTGCACGAGGAAAGTAGATGAAGTCATCAGAATTCAGCAGAAAACAAACATGGAGGAATAAATAAATGTCAAGCTCAGGTTAAGCTGTCAAACACCGACAGTGGAAATATTAAAATGTCCAAATATAAAAATCAGGATCTCCAGTGAAAACACCCAATGTGTGTGTGTGTGTGTGTGTTTGTGTGAGCATGCATGTGTTCGTAACATCTGTGTCTGCCACCTGTGAGGTGAAAGGGAGGCTGACCTGAGACACATGCTCCTCTTTAGTTCCACATGACTGAGAGTGTGTGTGTGTGTGTATGTGTGTGTGCGCGTGTGTGTGTGTGATGGAGAGAGACAGTGACAGATAGGCAGTCGACAATAACTCAGTTAAAATGTCTTCTCCACGTGAAATTAAAACCCACGTGGCTTGAATTTTGTAGCAGTGGTTTTTGAATATTGGAATAAATCTTAGATCGTTATGAATAATTACTTAATAATCATGGTTGCACTTGAAAATGAATGAAAAAGCAGATATAACCCCAGAGAAGCACTTGAAAGAGAGAGCGTGACGTTTTTATTGTGCACGGATCAACATATATGAACCAAACGCAGCAGCCTCACCTCATGTTTACGAGACGTCACGTTCAGGAGGCACCACGACTCCATCATGTCTCCACCGCAGCTGCAAGAAGTTGATATTTTATGGGTTTTACAATTTGCAGCTCATCATTTGATGGATATGGGAACTCACAGCCTGTAGCTGCTGTCTTACCCTTAATTTGTGTATTTCCTGAAAACTAAGTTGCATGTTAGCAGAAGGACAAATCAAAGCACAAGTTAATGGCACAAAGAGCAAAGTGAAGCTCGGCGTTAATCCAGACAGAGCAGTGGAAGTGAGGTTGTAGTTGCTGCCGGTGTGTGTCAGCTGTTTGCATCTCAAATTTCACAGCTGACAGGTAACATCCCATCATATTCAGGCCAGTGTCCAATGTGCACGTTCTAACCTGACTCCTGCTGAGGTGCTCTGCAGCCACAACCTCCTCCATCACTCCAACCTCCTCCGTCTGATGAACCTTACTGTTTTAAACGTTCCCCCCCCCATCTTCCCCCCGACCTTCGGGGATCTGATCACGGAAATAAACGACCAGATGTTTTGTCACAAGGCCTCAGAAACAGAGAGCGATCATAAGTGGTTTTGAATGAAACAAATAAAGACGAGTCAATGTAAATTGTATGTCTATATTAAATTTAGTCTTTATATTAGATTAGTAGAGTACTTTGTTTTGTACCGTGAAGTGCTGAGTACAAAGTTGGCATGGCGACCATCGTGAGAACGAGGTTGAGAAATACCAAAATTAGCGTTTCAGAAAAAGAGCAGAACCAATGGACATCACATGAAAAGAAGGAGAGAAGGACTGGTTCTATCACAACTGACTGTAAACAAACATATGGTGTTTTAAATCATTAACGTCTGAAGACAATGAGAGCAGAGAGAGAGAGAGAGAGGGACAGGAAGAAATGAGAGGAGGAGAGAGAGAAGAGAAAGAAGAGAAGATCTAAACGTAGGACTGATGATTTGTGGACATCATGGAGGGAGGATCGAACACACACACACACACACACACACACACACACACACACACAAATACTCAACC